ATAAATGTCTGAATAGTATGTACCCTTAAATTGCAGAAATTATGGATTTTGGTTATCCACAGAATCTTTCACCAGAAATTTTAAAGCTTTACATCACTCAAGAAGGAGTGCGCTCGCCATTCTCTTCTAAGGTAAAATGATTCTAATGGTTCAGGTTCAGGATATGGTAGGGCCAATGTGTATGAAGTCTCATTGGACTTTTTCCTCTGATAATATACAGAATATTGTAGCTGTTTCATGTGTATATCATGATTTTAGTTTCTGATCAATTTTTTTTTTCAACTGTGTTCCAAAAAACAAAAGCCTACAGATAAACCAGTCCCAAATGCAACTCTACAAGTTACAGGTGCTGTTGGTTGGCGCAGAGAGGGCCTTGTTTATAAAAAGAATGAGGTGATGTAAATTTTTGTACTTCTTTTTTACATTCATTATTGTATGTTCTATTAGATTATTAACATTTTTTCAATGCAGGTCTTCTTGGATATTGTGGAAAGTGTAAATCTTCTTATGTCTTCCAAAGGTGGGGAAGGTGTTTTTGAATGAGTTGCATGAACAATGTCTATTTGGTTACTCATAAGCGATTTTGGTGACTATAGGTAGTGTGCTGCGTTGTGATGTAACCGGGAAAATTCTTATGAAATGCTTCCTCTCTGGAATGCCCGACTTGAAGTTGGGGTTGAATGATAAAATTGGCCTTGAGAAAGAGTCACAACTCAAATCCCGTCCTACTAAAAGGTATTCAATGGCTGACAGTTCTGTTCTATTATTTTGATTCTATCTAATCTTTTTAATCATCAACTTTCTTGGCTTAGTATCTTGTTTCCAAATTACTGTTCCCTTTGATATTGTTTATAGTCACTTTTCCTTTGAAAACAAATGTAGCTCGTTTTATTAGAGTAGCACATGCGAATACGTCCTTACCAGCTTTTGGCATTCGGGTAATTTCTATACGCAACTACCCAGCCAAACATTGCAAACCTAGCACAGGAAGGAGAATCATGGAAGAGGAAAAGTAAAGTACATAAGCACAGGATCACAAAATTTAGGATGGTTCACCCTAAACTTGACAATGCACACGTGGGTGAAGACTACGATAATCCAGTAAACCAAAAGAGTAAATAAAATTACAATGAGAAACTGATAGGTCCGTCCAACCAACTAAGTAAGCTCTCTTATGCGGTCTCAGTTCTCAATGGAGAATACCAATTGCACCTGAAGCTCATAGGTTCTCTCTTAATTGTGGCAATCATTCACTCTTAGAAAACTTCAATAATCCTATTTGTAGGAAGCGTTGCGAGGGAAGGTGCTATCCAAGTAAATTGTTTTCCTTATATTGAGTCGCACTACATCAATCTCCACCTCACTGAAAATTAAGCCTCTAGCCTCCACCACAAATCAAGCTCCTGGGATCAAACTCACTTACCAAAACATGCTCTATGTAGCCACGACACTTACGTAATCTAAGGTCTTAAAGAACTTGACAAAACCAATTGATGCCTTTGAACAGTTTGCCCAATTTCCTCATAAAAACCTCAGAACTAACCAATTGCCATATAAACTCTTATTTCTACCTGTCAGTGATTTTTGTTCTCTTTTTGTTTTGTTATTTTAAATCTGTCTTTACAGTGTCCTTTTTTTTTTTTTGGCCTTTATAGTTGATCTGTTCTGTATTTCGAGCATTGCATCTTTGCCTTCATCAAGATATTGCAAATAACTCTTAATGAGTGATGTCAGTTTTTGACAGTACATGATTTTTTTTCTTTTTCTTTTCTATTTTAAACTTGATTATTATGCAGTGGTAAAACCATCGAGCTCGACGATGTTACTTTCCATCAATGTGTAAACTTGACAAGGTTCAACTCAGAGAAGACAGTTAGTTTTGTGCCACCTGATGGTGAATTTGAATTAATGAAGTAAGCCCTTACTTCCTTTAATGTTGTCCTTCATGGTGTGAATTTAACTGTTTTCTTAGGGTGCTCAGACCCGCTCACTTCACGGTAATGTTGTTTTTACATTGCGCATTATGACAAATTAAATAGTCCCTTAAATGGATGTCACAACTCGAGGGAACTTGATTTTAATATGAGCTTGACATATAACCTTGCGAGGAGTTTCAATTGTGCCGCTACTTTGTATCATCTGATGTTCTGGTTTATATCTTGTATGCTTTCATATCAAGGGGAGGTGGTTTGTGACTCATGCTTCCTAACTTCAGTCAGTCATCTTTTGTTCTTTTGACAGAAGAATTTTATTGGGTGTTAAAGTTATAAACCAACAAAAGTCCTAAATAGCTTTTATAGGATTGTACTCAATTTTTGGTACTCTCTACTAGTACCTTCTCTGCAGTTAGCAATCTTATACAGCCTGATGTCACTGTCATAAATCTTAATGATAGGTAGAGTTTCTTTTAATACCAGATAAATTGTTGTAGTTGGGTAGCAGTGTTGTATACATTTAATTGTATTCATAAGGCCTGCTTCTGTGATTGGTTATATGTGCAATAGGTACCGTATTACTGAGGGCGTGAACCTTCCCTTCCGAGTATTGCCTACAATTAAGGAACTTGGTAGAACTCGCATTGAAGTAAATGTTAAGGTTTGCTACTTTTCATGTTAAAGGTTGCTATTTTTGGATGTTTGTTGCTTGGAAAATAACTTATATGCACTACTTCTCTTCAGATAAAGAGTGTATTCGGTGCAAAAATGTTTGCTCTTGGGGTTGTCATCAAAATTCCTGTGCCAAAACAAACAGCAAAGACAAATTTTCAAGTGACTTCGGGTCGAGCAAAATACAATGCTGCTATTGATTGTTTGGTTTGGAAGTGAGTGTTTGTAGTATGTTTATTTATTGAGTTCTAATTCTATGTACTATTTAATTTGTTAAGATTTGCAATCTTAATTTTCTGTTGAAAAAACTGCAATATTGTTTTAATTCAGTAGCTCCTGAACGCTGGCTTAGGTGGTAAAAAGGTGGGATTAGATTTGGGGTTGGGGTAGGTACCATTGTAGGTTCAAAGTATGCAAATCTGTCTGGCATATATGAAATTTATAGGAGCCTTTTTGACTGCCTGAAATGTGTGTGCATTATTTTCACTGTATATCAACTTTCTTGTGACTTTGTAGGATAAGAAAATTTCCAGGACAAACTGAGCCAACCTTGAGTGCAGAAGTTGAGCTGATTTCAACGATGACAGAAAAGAAATCTTGGACAAGACCACCAATTCAGATGGAGTTCCAGGTGCCTAACTAATCATTGCTGCTAACTCCAGTATTCTTATGACACTTGTTTCATCTGTTTGTTAATCCAGCAGCTCATCTCCACTTTAGTAGGTATCATTAGAGAAAAAATTAAAAATTAAAAAATGTGACCAAATCCCAAACAATCAGCTGCTAGGTTTATGCATTTCAAAACTAATACTTTTTAGTTTTTAGTTTTTAATTTTTGCTCTACTTCTATATCTTCTGAAGCACATATGGAAATTATACATGCTGTTTTTTTCACTGCCTAAAATTTTGATCCCTATGTTACTTGGATGCTGTTCACATGTGTGAAAAGGAAATATTGCTTGCGTGTTCATGTTTTTCGCACAGTAAGTCTCTAGTATATTGCCTATTATCAGTGGCGGACCTAGGATTTCCTGATAGATGAACAGTTTCCCGACCTATCGTTTAAAATTTCTGTTTTCATGTATGTCTTTATGGCATTTGATATTGTTTCTTCTCCCCGTCCACCTCTTTAAAGAAGGTGATTCATTGAGTTATTGTGTATACAGGTTCCAATGTTCACAGCATCTGGTTTACGTGTCCGTTTTCTCAAGGTACTGGCTTTGCCCTGTCAACACTAGTATGCATTCTGTAAAAAATGTTGCATTTATTCATCGATTTTCTGCAGGTATGGGAAAAGAGTGGATACAACACTGTTGAGTGGGTCCGCTATATCACCAAAGCCGGTTCATACGAGATTAGGTGCTAGAGACACGGGATTGCTGTTGTGAAGACTTGAGAGGATTTTAGGGTGGATGCTGGAATTTTATACAATTGAGTTGAGTGGGAATTATTCAGGAGTCTGTTTTGACAAGCATAAATCATAGGGATTTAATTGCTCATGTTATAATTTGTGTCAATATGATTGTTTGTGGTCTTGTATCCTGCTGTAAATGCTAGCGTACTCTAGAACTGGTAAATTGAGCCTTCAATTTTTTATTTTTTATTTGGCTTAATATCACAAAACATCCCTAAGGTTTAAGAAATTATCAGATTGCATCCTCAATATTTTTTTTGTCATTCATGGGCCTCAAGGTTAGTATCTTTATAAAGAATGATTTTTTAATAATTTGACCGAATTGCCCCTCCACGGGTAACAGAAGTTACTCCAATTTGATAGAAATGAGAGATTGTCCTTGTATTGCTTCAAATTGAAACCATAGGGACAAAATTGACCAAATTAAAACAACATGGATCAAAGTGGTAAAAGTGTGTAAAAGTGACAAATTACAGGGATCAAAAGTGATTTTTTGTCTTTTTTTAATTATCCAAATGTTTAGTTTTAATAATTTAATTTTAAAAAAAATAAAAACATAAAGTCAGACGGAAAAGTAGATGGAATTAGAAAAATTTAATGGTAAGGGGTAAATTGGCTGTTTTAATACATTTAAGTGCTAACTTGGCTGACTTTTTAGTTCATAGAGTTAAGTTTGATTAGGATCATAGTTCAAGGGGTAACCCAACTGAAAAATCCTAATTTAAATGATTATTTTCCTATCTTTACTAGGATTTAGTTTGCTTTTCCCTTGTCAATTAGGTTTCCCGTTTATTATAGGGTTTGATGGCTATATAAGCCTAGCTAGTTCAGAGTTGTGAGAAGGCGTTTTTTATCAATATAATTCAAAAGTTACATATTATAGAGTTTCTTTGTCCTAGAAGAACTCAGTTATCTTGGTTCCGACTTCTATTCTATTGCCCTAGAACTCAAACTCTGTTTCGTCCTGATCCTGAATCGCTATGGAGTCGTTTTCCTGTAACATTGCAACAAAAGTGCTGGAAAGGCTTTCTTCCCGTGGGCACAAAGAAATTCACTTGTCGAAAGATGTCAAAGGTGAGCTCCATGAAACCTTATCAACCATCACAAAGGTGCTCCAGTATGCAGAGGAAAACCAGAGGTCAAATCCCCTCTTGCTCGCTGACTGTTTCAGAAAGCTCCAAGATGTTTGCTATGACATGGATGATGTTCTAGACGAATACGAATACAAGAAGTTGCGGATGCAAATGCTCAAACCTAAAGGTAGCGTGAAAGAAAAGGTACACAACTTGTTTTCAATTCCAAATTCTGTCATGTCAAGCTACAAAATGAGTCACAGAATAAAAAATATGAGAAAAAGGTTAGGTGAGATTGCAGCCGCAAAACCTCAGTTCAATCTGTCTGAACGAGCTGCATATTGGCATGACATGCACATGGAGAGGAAGACCAGCTCTTTCGTGCACTCCACAAATGTGATTGGGAGAGATAACGATAAAGAAGAGATGCTCACCCATCTTCTTAAGGACACTTACACTGGTGAAGGTGATGATGACGAGGAGAATGTTTCCATTATTTCCATTAATGGATTAGGAGGCTTGGGAAAGACCACGCTCGCTAAATTAGTGTACAATGATGATAGGGTAGTAGCAAATTTTAATTTGAGAATTTGGATTTGTGTCTCAAATGATTTTGACAATGAAAGATTGCTCCGAGAAATTGTCAGGGCTGCAACTAAAGAAACATGTAAAGATGAAAGCATTGAAGAGATGCAAATGAAGCTGCAGCACACTTTGAAAAACAAGAAACTTTTATTGGTGTTGGATGATGTTTGGGATAAAGAGCCAATGGGAATTACGTTTGAAAAATGGATTGATTTCAAGTGTTTGTTAAAGATTGAAGCCAATGGAAGTAAAATTATTGTAACAACACGAAACGAATCGGTTTCTTTGATTATAGCGCCTGCACACGTGTATCTGTTGAAATGCCTTCCCCACTCAGATTGTATGACTATTTAAAAAATTGGTATTCACAAAAATAGAAGAGGGAAACCATCCCAAGTTGATGAAAATTGGGGAAGATATTGTGAAGAAGTGTGGAGGGGTTCCTCTTGCCTTGTACACCATAGGGGGCCTCCTCAAATCGAACAAGGATGAGAGTTATTGGTCACATGTTAGAGACACTGACATATGGAAATTGGAACAGGAAAGCAAGAGCATTTTAACTGCACTCAAGTTAAGCTATGATGCGTTGCCGGTCTACTTGAAACCTTGTTTTGCCTTTTGTTCACTTTTTCCAAAGGATTACATATTTAGAAGCGAAGACTTGATTCCGTTGTGGATGGCTCAAGGCTTTGTTCAATCCTCCCAAGAACATGGAAACCAAGAGCTTGAAGATATTGGTATGCACTACATAAGGCAACTATGTTCTACGTATTTCTTCCAGATCGTGGAATATGATTCCACTTTTATAGTATTTAAAATACACGATCTAGTTCATGATTTAGCAATCTCAATGGCACAGGTAGAATACTCGTCTTTGAATTTTCGTCCCTCTTATTCTTCTAAGATGGTTCGACATGTGTCAATATCTCAGAGGGACTTGTCCAAGGAAAAAGAAGAAGACCCAGAATTCTTACTCGGTTTTGAGAAATTGAGAACCATTATAATTTCAGATTTGGACAGTGAATATGTTCCTATAGAAGTTGGGGTCAACAATCTATCTTTTTTACAGAGATGCATCTCAAGGCTCAACTTCCTACGGGTGCTAAATCTTAGTAACTTGACTATTAAGGTGCTGCCAAGTTCCATCGGCAACTTGAGACACTTGAGATATCTCGACTTGTCATTTAATCGGCATATAAGTAAGCTTCCCGATTCTATTTGCAAGCTGCATCATTTGCAATCCTTGGTGCTTGCATATTGTGAAAAACTCCAGGAGTTGCCAAAAGACATGGGAAACCTAATCAGCCTCAGGTACTTGGTCTTAACCATAAACCAGACACATTTACCAAAAGTAATTGGACATCTCACCTCCCTTCGAACTTTATTTGTGATTTTGTGTAACAATCTTATATGTTTGGGTGAAGGGATGGGATCCCTCACTAACCTTCGAACGCTGGTCATTTCGAAATGTCAAAACTTGGAGTCCTTGCCATCCTGTAACATGACCACAATGGAAACTTTGGATATCAGTGATTGCCCAAAGCTAGATCTGATGGGGTCAGGAGAAGGCATTCGGGGTCTTAGATTTTTTGGGATTGAAAATTCGAGTTTGAAGGCGTTACCCCATTGGCTGCAAGAGTCTGCAAACACTCTACAAGGGTTACGCTTGGACAATACCTTTCTCCAGTTACCGGACGGGTTCCAAAACTTCACCATGCTCCGAAAACTAAAGATTATAGACTGTCCTGATTTGGTTACTTTTCCCGAAGGCATGCACCGCCTCACTGCACTGAGAGAGTTGGAGATTAGCAGCGACCCTTTAGCTGAAAGATGCAAAAGGGAAGAAGGTGAGGATTGGCACAAGATAGCTCATGTCCCAAAGATCATTCTTTATGGTCGTATAATCTGATCAGCTGGTAATTGGGTAACAATATTATACTTATTGATCTCTTCTTGGTGTGTTATATCTAGTTTTCTATGTATCAGTATATTAACCCTCTTAATAACAATATATATAATTTCTTTTTTATTCCTAACAATTGCAGATCTCATGGATTGCAGAAAAAAACATGCATAATCGAAGTTTTCCCCCTTGGTTGAATGTTACTATTCTACGAGTTTTCATACAGTTGTTCCCTCATGGATGTAAATAGGCGTAGGTAAAGTCATTTACTCTCTTTTTTTGGATCGGTAAAGTCATTTACTGTGTACATCTGTTGGACCAAATTTTTAACAAGTACTGTAGCTAGCCCAAAGTCCAAATTTTAAAGAGAAAGTCTGAGTTGCCTAAGAAATCCATACACCTGATATACAACCTTGCAGTGAATGAAAAGATGATCAATTGGCTGTGGATATTGATTGGGGCACAAGGAGAGGCTGAGACAGTCCAAGTCCACCTCATGCTTTCTCCTCTCTCTGCAACCAACCACCGCACCATCATCCATAACCACCCATACCCACCCACACCCCCAACTAGCCAAAGGCCTCCAAGTCTGGTGACTGCTTCAGGGTCTAGCTTGCTTGCAGCATTTCCAAGTAAGCAACAATACCTAAAAACACAATTTCACGCCAAAAAGATCAAAACCCATAGATATAAGAAATTTCAATAAAATTCAATTCAATCAAAACCTCCAATACCAATAAGATATAAAATTTCAATTCATTTCTCCAAAAGAACCGAACCCAAATACCAAAATCAATTTCAAATCCAACTAACACAACCAAAAATTCGATTTAAATGTTCACCAATCCTATTAAACCCAAAAAAATAAAACCCTAACCGAATCCAACCAAGGCCTTAAACATGAAATCCCATTACACAAACGAAATCAAAACCAAAATCCCAGTTAATCACTAGCAACCCGTAACAGCATAAACACAAAAACCCATATCGCCAATGTTTAACTTGAAATTAGAATGGGAATTCTTGCTGACAGTGCAAGACCCAAGTGGTTTAATTTGATTTCTGCACTTGCATGTCAATTTTCGAGCAATTAAACTCAGGATTTATTCCGGTAATTCTACTCTCTTTCAACCTCTCGGCAGCTCGTTGATAAGAATGGTGGCTTGGGTTCGTCGGAATTCAAATACAAGAGAGAGAGGGGGAAGAGACAGAAAGGGAATAGAGAGGGGGAAGAGACAAAAAGGGCAGAGGCAGAGAGAGTGAGAGAGAGAGAGAGAGGAGAGAAAGGTAAGATGCATGGAAGGGCGAAATGGCAAAAGGGTTTTTGGGGTTTGGATGGGTGCAGAAGTTGGAGAGAGAGAGAGAGCTCGTATGTTTGCAGAGAGAAGGAGAGAGAGAGTTGGGTTGGGACGAAATGGCGGTATTGCCCATGCACGTACACATCACGTGGATATTAACTGACGGAATTAATCAATTAATTGGACTTGATTTACTGAAGATTTAAAATCTGATGATCAAAATTAAAAAATTAAAAGTTTGGTGACCAAAATTAAATTCAACCTAACTTCTAATTGGGACGGCTTAAAATCTGATGACCAAATTAAAAAATTAAAAGTTCGACCAAAATTAAATTCAACCTAACTCCTAATACCAAAAATGTAATTACCCCTCCAATCCAACAAGAATTCTGAAAGGCGATTTCGAGTTTCAATTTTCTTCTTTAATCACATTTTGAATTTTAAATTGATATCGAGAGTCGTGTGCACTGATGCACATGCAAAAAATAAATTAAAAATAAAAAAGAAAAAGAAAAAATTTATAAGAACAGCGCACACACAACAAAATAGAGCATCAGCAAACCATCAACCGGCACTCAACTGTACGGGATCTTCTCCCTCAGGGTTTCACACTAGTAGAATTCAATACCTGCTAACCCCATTTTGCAACCGTTGCCGGCTCCAATACGCCGTCGTTTGGAGTTGCGATTGTTCAGCAGATGGGGTTTCTTAGGAAGATGGCGGGGATGCTAGGGTTTACGAAGGACGACGGCCACGAAGTCAAAGACAACGGGGAAGAGGACGAAGACGATAACCAGGCCCAGAACCGAGCCAATTTCCAGGAAACTGGGCTTCCCCGTAAAGGCTTCAGCGTTCCGGTTCAAGTCGCCGTTGACCGGAATCTTCCCGGCCCCGTTCTCGTTCCTTGTCGTTCCGGCGACGGTGGTGTCCAGGTAAATCATCTCTCTCTCTATCTCTCAAAACCTCCATTTCCATAGATGAATTGAATTGTTGGATTAGCATTAGATTAATCTACAACGTTTGCCCAAAAGTTGAAGTATGCATTAGTAGGGTTTTGTTTATGAATAATTGGTAGAGTTCGATTGCTTGGTATCTATGAATTTAGCCTTAACTGTCATCCACTATGATTGCTTAGTAAAATGTGAGAAATATTGTAATGGGATGGGCACATGACTTGTAGGTGAGCTGAATTTAGAATATCAGTTATTGGATAGCAATTGAGGGACTTGAGTTTAGTGGGTAGTATTTCAATTTGGGAACAAAAGTTTGGAGCTTGAAGATTCGATCATAGGATGAGTGAGTGGGCATCTGATCTTCATTTCCAGTTTGTTCATTGTAGGACTCAATTGAACCCATTTGGAATTATTTTCCGAATAATGTTAAGAGGTCATGCAACATGAAGACATTGAAAGTGAATAGCACGATATGGGGGAAGTTCCCATCAGGCAGCAATGGCTGCCTGACCCTACTTAAGCAAACCCTACTTAAGCATGCATATTCTGTCAGTGAGGACTTGGTGCTTGGAGCTTGCATTAGAAGAAGTCAGCTGAGGGGGACAGCATAAGTGTACAAATGTGCGTAAGCCCAGTCGAACTTGACTGTTCTAAGCAGGGCTGGCCACCCTTTCCTAATGGCATTGGTCCCTAGGACTGTTTCTATTGTTTCCCCTTCTTTTGCCTTTGGAATGGTCAAGTGTTAAGTTATGCCACCAGAGTTCTATTCTTCTTTCGGAAGCAGTCTGTGTTTGATAGAGGCATACAGGTGATGATTCTTGGAATGTGAAACCTCTCTCTAGATGGTCTTTTATCTTTCTTTTCTTGTTATAAGTCTAGAAATGTCCTTAACCTTTTGGGTTGTTTGTACTTGGGACAATTTGTTTCTGCCTATAGCTTTCCTTTGAGGATCACAGTATCCCTTAGGCCTTCTCCAACCATGGGAGGCAAAACCCAAAATTTGGAAATTTTTAGCCCAAAACCTTCTCCAACCCACGTATTTGGAGGGGGAAAATTTGGGTTGACTGAAAAATGGGGCGGTATTTGGCCCCAGATTCCACTCCAGTTGGAATTTTTGTGGGGCCCAATTCGCAGCAAACAAGAGCCACGTGGGGCCTCATTCGAAGCAAATGATGGGCTGCTGCCCACTACCCCATGTTGCTGGCCGCATGTCAAAGCCTAGGCAACTTAAAAATTGCACTTCAATGGCTGCATTTCAAATGGGCTGCTGCTTTCAAATTTTTTTTTTCAAACCGTAAGTTTAATAAAGTTGCGGACTCAAATTATGAGTTCGCAAGGTTGGAGGAAAAAACAGTTTGAGTCCTCAAAATACATGAATAGTTGTATTTTGGAGGATGAAATTTTGGGTTCGAGTCCTCTAGGGTTGGAGATGGCCTTCATAGAAAGTGCATATTTAGCTGTCTAGTCAGCTTTCCTTTTCTCTTTGCAGAATTGCTTGTTTCTCATTATGGTGGGAGAGATCTGAAGTCAGGGATCCATTTTGAAGTTGACTATCATAGACCAGCGACATAACCTTTAAAATTGTTGAATGAGGCATCAGTCTTCCCCGATTTGTATATTGAAATGTAGGGATTATAATTTCTTCCCCTAGCCCGCTGTCCTTGATTCTGTCATGAGCATGGTTTCCTCAGCTTTATGTAATGAATTCTCTTATCAAATAAACTGATTTTTTTTTATTGGTTAAATTTTATTGTTTTCGTATGCTTTAGACTTACTATGTTGAATGAGATGCCTGATGCTCAAATAGGCCTTCAGTCTTTATGTATAATCCCAGATTCACAGAGATCGTATTCTGTTTTTTCTTCAAGGAAATGTACTTTGCAGGTGTTAGTGCCTTTTGGGAATCGTTTTATGTGGGTGGTTGTTTGCTTCATAATTTTGTAGTTTGTTGGTTGCTTGGTGTGTAGTTTATCCTGTGGTAATTTGAATCTTTAGTATTCCTTATGTTATTGATCTGGATGGGTCTGTTATGCTGTAGAGCAGGGAGATGAAAAGGTAATACAGAACCAGAAGTTAGGAGATAATCCAGTTGCCAAGTTGCTTTTAAAATGAAGTGTCGTCTAACGACTGGTTGAGTGTTATGCCTTCCTGCCTTGTCCTGTTAATAGTATGTTGCTGGTTGGATTTTTGGTTTTCTATCTATTAAAGAATTAAAGAGAAGATAATGGTTTGCTGTTTTCCAAGTTCGAAAATGTTCTCCCTCTTTGTAACAATAACACTTTAGCGTTT